GCCATGTGTGCCAGTTCTAGCAACCAGTAAGGTAGTACAGTCTGCCCTATATTTTCAGAGTTTTGGTACCTTACATAAGTAGGTGCAAAACACTTGCATCTCTGGTTTTCTTTGGAAGTGCAGTCACGTGCAATCAGGTGGAATAAGTGTGCTGATAATTTTCCTTCAGAAATTGTAATGGTTAGTGATGTGGACACTTTTCTTTTTAGGCAGAAACCATGAGGCACTGAAGCAAGCATTCACTTTTCTTGCACTTGAGGTCACAAATTTATGCAAGTCAAAAATGCTGGGCCTGCCAAAAACATCATGCTACACTCCACCAAATAAAAGGACACTGTTATTCTTACAAGGAAAGGTTTGACAGGACAGGAAATAGGCAGGGTCATAGAAGTTTGCTTAATACTGAAACTTATTTAACCATCTTTAAGCCAAAATACAATGATAGTTATTTAAATAAAAATTAGAAGGGGAGGGGGAAGACAAGAATACAAGAGCACCAGACTGTGCTATTACAGGAGTAGCAACCAATACAGGAACTAGAGAACCTGAATAAGAATTCACATAATTCATGTTACTAGATGTCACCTGCCTTTACTGGGTTAACACATATTAAGTAAGTTTTAATTTATGTCCTGAACTTTCAGCAAGAGGCATCTGATTTGGAGAATCCATTGCAGAGCTTACCGAGCTATACACTACTTTCATTAAAACGCAATCCTTAAGCAGACTGCATTCCACTTAAAGGACTGGAGGAAGGGGAACTAAGAAGAGAGTGAATATGAAAGATAGGAAAAATGTTGCTGTTCATTACAATTTTCCATTTTTGTTGAAGCACAGCAGGAGAGCAAAGCCACAGGCTTCTCTACTGCTCTTGCATGCCAGGAGGGATTATGCAAACACTGCAACCACCCAAATCTTATTTAAATTATAGTCATTGTTCCCCCTTTAATGATTATACTTTTGCCTGCTTTCACTCAAATATTGCCGCATCTTGCTTTCTGCCAGCAGAGTCCCAATGGGAATCATCAACTCTTAATTATAGATGAACGGATCTTTGAAAAATACCTCTGGGAAAAAAGTGGCAAGAAAGCAAACTTTAAGTGCCATCTAGTGGCTGATCTACTAAATAACAGTGAGTAGAGCCAAAAAATTCTTAACATGACATATGGTAATATCACTGCAGCTGAACTGAGGAAGCAGCGCTTAAATTCATGACTACTAAAGACCAGGTTAATACTTTGGGGACCCTAAAAAAGGACTAAAGACCAACAGTATCATTACCATAATTTTTCTTTTAAGATTTTTGTCCCTAAGTGGGGAGTTCAAATGGCAGGAATTACACAGCGATCACCTGTTCCTTCAAGGTTCTCATCAGCTTATCAGCTTCTGCCTTGCTAAGGAAATACAAGTTGCATGTATTTCAGTCTAAATCAGAAAATAGAACCCTTTAAGATCTCAGAATAGAACCCAAGCAAAAGGGGTGAATCTGGAGCCAAGCGTCTGAATTCTGAAGTTAGCTTTCTCTAAACTCACCTAGGATTGAAGGACAGATTTTCTCTGTTTGTGACAAGTCAAATCCATTCCTCAAAAAAAGAAAGCAGATTGTTAGTAATGTCCTTTTCATTTCCCTGCAGGAAAAAGCTATTTTCTGCTATAGATGAGAATTCCCAACAAATTATTTTTCTGCTGTAAAAGCTCTGTGATCCATTTACACAGAGGACATCCCACAAGATCATTCCCCAGGCTTCAAGTAACTTCTCTTGGGAGATGTGTGCCTTCTCCAAGAGCAGCTTTGTCTGAACCTGTCCAGTGATAATGGAAAGCAGCCCAACGTTATTATTTAATGTAATTTGGTTTTTTTGCAAATAGCACTACACTTTGGACTTGCTTTGGAGCTTCACAACTCTTCGGTTTCACACTTACAGTGAGCCCTGGGGATCACACCTTATTGAGAGGTTCTGGAGACAGGAATCTGTCTAGATAGAACTAATATCTATGCATGTTAGTATCTATCTTGTCAAGAATTTACTTGCTCAAGCACATTGTTCACTTTTTCATTGAATTACAAAACTAATTTGCAACTAATTAATTTAGGCAGAAGGATAGGTCTCAGGTACAGTAATGAACAAATCCATGTGTTTCCCAGTTCTCTCTTCCTTCTCCTAATATAAAAATTTTACACATTCTGATTTTTGTTTAAAAGAGGATCAAACATGCTAATTAAAGCTTAAAATGTACCTGAATAAAGAGAGAAAACTTAAGCCTTGCTGAAGAAGTGCTGGTTTATCTTTTTCCCCTCGCTTATAGGGAGAGGGTGATTTTTATGAGTAAGAGCCAGGGAAAGTTAAGCTAACTTTTGCAACAGACATTGTATTGTGCCTCCTGTGTATGTTGCCAGATACCAAGATGAAATACTTTTGTAGCACAGGCAATATTAATGGGAAAAGGGAACACCAAAATAAATTGGGCAGTACTGACTTTCATACTAATGAAATCATGGGACTTTGATAAAAAAAAAAAAATGGGACAAGAGGCAGCATAGTTTGAACCAGAAAGTAGCAAATACTGTTGTTGGAATTCTTTACTCACTACCAATACAAAAAGTTTCTACAGGTTTCAGTTCAGACTCTGGTCTGCAGCAGCAAGTATTGATTTAAGAACTTTCAATACTTTGGTATGTAATTCTTGTTGCCTGGTTAGAAGTATTTTCCTTCTATAGATTTGTTACTCTTATCGAAGCAAAACCCCAACACTAAAAGGAACTATCAGAATTTGTTAGCCTAGTGCAATGGTTTGATGCACAGGGAGGAGTTCAGTGTGGTGGTGAGCTTGAAAGCATGTTTTTTCAGATGGAGAGGCTTTTCCAGGGTCCTGGGTTCCTACTGGCAAGAGTCTTGCAAAAATCTTAAAACTCCTTTCATGGTTCTATAGGCAAGTGTTGAGAAATGGTGGAATGGAACTGAACTATACCAATTTTCAAAACAAGGGAGCCTTTTCTGGTAATGACACTTAGGGAACAGTCTGTATGCTAACAACAGGCATGGATTTGTAAATTTATGCTTCTTCCTCGTCCATCTGAGATAGCTTCCGAGATAGTGCTTTTTCTAGGTAGTACTATCCCTTCTTACATTAGAATCTGGAGTATTGCTTTCAAAACGGAAATGAGATCAGTTTCCAACAGGTACAACAGATGATAAGTAGCAATAAAACTTAAGACTTTTTCCTTGTAGGTTGCTGTTTCAAGTGAGATCATCTTGTAGTATCTTTTAAGGACTTGCATCAGTGTAACCCCTGCTGTTTTTTTGCTTTGGGGGTAGAGAGGGAACAAAAGAGGAGCAGCTAAACTTGCTCTCAACTTAACTAGAACTGGAGGAAACCCTTTTACACAAAAAGTTAATGGTTAAGATCTTTTAATAACTTTTGGTAATTTAAGTTCCTTTTTGGCAGGTTATAGAACAGAAGAAACTTCGTGTCAAGATCAGCCTTTCTAATTCATTTAAAACATCACTGGTAGGATGTGCTTCTTGCTTACAATAGGCGTTAGCATGGTAAGCCTGCTTATGAAGGTCTGGGTATACAGATAGAAGCATAGTGTTGTGCTAAGGGTGGAGGAAGAAAAGAAAATGCTGACAAGCATAGAATGCATATGGAGGGAAACGACTCCTCCAGTCAAAGATGACTTCTTTCAGCACTGCCAAGTCGTTGTCATTATCCTATGGCTGAAGGAATCTCAAGTCTGCCATATTACACTTTATTTTCCGCCTCATTAGGGAAGGGAGGCAAAATGTATAAAAAATGCAGTATTTCGGGCATACTTCACAAGGACATGAAACTAATAGCAGTGAGATTATTAAAATCTGAGACTACCGAGGAGAAGACTGGTGCAAACATCTTAACCTACGAAAAGGCCTGTCTTTCTGCTGTTGAAACTTAAAGCACAGTATTTCCAACCTGTGACCTTTCAGGTAAGGATATCTAAAAAGAGAATACAGACAGATGCAGGGGGAGGAAATAGACATTTGGGAGCCTCACAGCCTTTTCTAATCCTTTTCTGTAAAGTGGCCAAATACTCAAGATTCTTTCCTTTTGTCCCTTCTCTTGTGTGCATGTTCTTTTACCTGAAAGTTTGAGTCATTAAGATTCTTACACTTGAAGAAGCAATCAGGTTCAGGACAAATCCCAAAGAAGTTCTATTTTAAGTGGTCAAACTAGAACTGAAAAAATCAATTTGTGTACTGCTTCAGTAATTCAGAATCTTTCTTCTATGCAGTACCTTATTAATGAATTGGTCAACAAGTGTATCGTCAACAAGTGTATCGTCAACAGTGTATTTCATAGCATGTTTACTATATAGAAGTTATTTCTGGATGAGTTGTGTTGTTTAGCTCAAACACTATTCCTGCTCTTCTAGTAGAGAGCTGAAAAACTGCCTGTTTGAGGATCAGCAAAGGATCAAAGACAGAACTTTGGGTTTGAACAGAAACACAAGTATTTTCCCAGGCTGTAGAAGATGGAATATTAAACATCTTTGCCTTAGTCTGACTTAGAGGTCAGAGTGGGAAATCATATTGATACCTGAATTATCACTGATTAGGTAAGAAATAAGTCCTCAGCATGAAATACTGAGCTACATGGAAGATAGCTTTCAGAAGATTAATACAAACTGGCACAGGAACAATAAGCCATTTTAATTTAGGTGTGTAAAATCAAATCATCAATTTATTTTTAAATTTATTACACTATAATCAGCATATAAGCAATGAGTTCTTATAACCAAGGACTGTACATCTAAAAAGAAAAATACATCAAGTAATCAATCGAGTTAGTCATGCACATTTCCCCATAGTGCAGGGGAATTTACTGCCTATAAAAATGGACAGGACAGATACAGAGAAGTCTGAATGAAACTTTTTTTAAATGTACACCAAAATCCCACTTCTTTTTCAAATGAAAATTTAGAAATAACTTTAAAAAAATTAGAATACATATTCAAACAATTTTCAGTTCTTTCCAGTAGAACCAAAGCCACCTTCACCACGTTCAGTGTCATCCAGGGCCTGAAAGACATCAATTATGGTAAGATGGGTCAGTGTCTTAATTTGCATTTTGTTCCTACACAACAGGTAACATCTATCATAGAGGAAGGTACATTTACTCATAACAATAGGTATAATTGAGAAACTAAACCAAAAAAAGTTATGAGAGACTTCAGAATACCTTCCGTACAAGTTTAAACAAATCCCTCATTGCAAGACAATTGTTTACAGTGTATACTGAGTGTTTCTCAAGTACCTGCTAACTCTGAAAACTACAGGAAAAAAAATTCCATGCAAATGCATGCAAAGCAACAAGATTTTTATTCAGGTAGCAATGCTACTATGCAGTTCTAAGGCAAAGTATGCCATAAATCTCAGCTTGTATACAACTATCTACAACTATTGAAAATAGCAGAAATATTTTCTTTTGGCAACTTACTTGAACTTCTTCTAGCTCAGGATAGTAAACGCGTTCACAGATGAGCTGGGCAATCCTATCCCCTTTTTTGACTGCAATGAAGTTAAAATATCAGTTGCTTCAATAAAGTGAACCAGCAATAAAAAGTTTAGACAATTCCCTTTCAAGAGCATCAATCAGAATGCACTGAAGTGCAAACACTTATCTGAAATGTAGTTAGGTAGAAGTTAATAGTGACAGAAAAATACAGGCTAAGATAAACTTGGTTTTAAGTCCTTTTAAGGTGAAGTTTCCACAGCAATACC